AAGCCGCGTTTGTTACGGATAATCTTCGAAACGACTGGGCCGATTTTGACCGGACTTTCACTGGAGGGTAGCTGACATAGACGGGCATATTATAGGTTACTTTTTATCTTAATATTGCGTGAACAATGCCGTAGGCAACAGCTAGTTATAAGTAAAGGACAACGTATAGGTCCAAGGTTAGTGTAAAAACGTAGGTGTCTATAATCATGTGAATTTTTAGCCACACACGCCACAAAAAATCCACTCGATGTCGAATACGAAAAAATTTAACAAGTCTATGAAGTGGTCATTACTGTGTTTATTCGCGTGTAATGAAACATATTGTTATCTCACTTTTCAAGAAGAATGAGAGGGACAAAAACATGTTTTTCATACATGTATTTCGGTAGTGTAAACGGAAATATATTCAGCATCCACCCTATGGTCAGTCGTTTGCCGTGGCCAGTCGAGTGGGGCGTGCGTCACACCGTTATGTCTGCCACATTGGTCGTTGCAGTGAGAAGGCGGCGAAGTTATACCAAATCAACGGTTACCGTTCTTACAATTATAAATATTTACTTACATAAAGAGACACTTTGTCTTAACGACTCTATTATAATGAGCACAAATTGTACAAAAGAATCTCCAATGGAAATAGATCGATGGATTATTTAGTTACATAATTAAATCGTCATAAAATTAAAATTCAGTTATGTTAACATATTAAAAAATACAAAAATGAGATAAGCAAAAAAAATATCATATCAATGTATTAATTCATCTCCGTAAGGCCTTTCGCAAGAAATTTATTCTTGTGCTTGGTTATACATTTTTTCCAAGGGGGAACGAACTTTAGGTAAAGATAATTTTGTAGATTTCTTTTTGGGCATTTTTTTTATTACATTGCTAGTCAATGCTTCTTGTAAATAGATAGTCGCAAAAGTTATTCAAGCTACCAAATTCAAGCTTAAATTCAACAAAATGATGTTTTTAGACAACTGATTATAAATTTAAGTTCTTATAGAGACTTTTCGGCTCTCCTTAAATGCCCATTAAAGATATATTGATTATTTTTTTTGTTTATGGTTAATTAATGCTCTATGTTAGAAAACAGAAAAATCTAACCATAGAGGTTAATGTCTTCTTACACTGTAGCAATTATTAGCGCTAAAAATGTAAAATAACAATGAAATATGATAGCATTACTCATATTACCAGAAGTCCAAATAAAAAAGTAAAACCTGAAAGTAGATGTCTGTAATGTTTTATTGTCTTGTATAAAAAATAATAACCCAAATGTTATTGCACGATTTTAGCTGTATTTGAATAACTTAGTAGGGTTCTTGTAGAGAAGAAATTGTCTATAGTCAGGACAAGATTATCCGATCGCTGTTCGTCGAAGCCACCATAATTTATACATCCAAGTTCGAACCCCGCCACATAACAATGTGTTTTTCGATTTCCTAACTACCCACTTTTATTCGACGTTCTTTCTTACCATATAGGAAAACATCATGTCGCAACCTGTACAAATCTGCGAATAAATTCAAAGATATGTATGTGTGAAGTCAACCAACACACACTGGGCCAGCGTGGTAGACTAAGGCATAGCTACACTTATTAGTGTAGGCTCCGAACCCTTCATTGGGAATGATAGTAAGCATATCGGCCGTCTTGAAACGTTCATTTTAAATCAACGAATTTAGAAAGTTTTTTAAATATGGTAACTATAGAAGTATTTTTCTAGATGCAGTTTAATTTGAATACTTTTATTTTAAAACTTGCTGTTGCTCGCGACTTCGTCCGTGCAATATTAAGATAAAAAAGTAAATACCCTTTAAAGGCATCTCGAAATCGGCCCCGCCGTTTCGGAGATTACCCGAAACAAACGCAGCTTGCGGACAGACAGACAGATAATTTTAAACACGATTTTCGTTATCAGCAATGCAAATACGCCATCTTTCCGGAATCTGGAATTTTTCTTTTGATATTACAAACGGAGACTCCAATTTTGTTATATGTATAGATAGATGTTAGGTTACAATGTAAACGATGAATGAATACCTAACAATTCACAATCACCAGCGCATTCTGTTGTGGTGCATCAATTATGTCTACTTATTATAGAGAGCTCTTTTTATTACAGCCGTTGTGGGAAACCACTGGAACAATATTATCGGAAGAGTTCCCAAGTATCTCACATACGAGAGTGGGACATGCACTTAACAATTATTCGTATATTGTTAAGGGCTGGCTGAGATTCTCATATTTTTTCTTTAATTAAAAAAAAACTAGGAACATTTCAGTCACCGTGACACTTATAGACCCTAGGGTTCATCAATTATCTTTTTGGGAATAATTACGCTACTTTGAAATAAAAATTTAGTGTTTACAACTTTAGTAACTACTCTTGCTAGTAAAAATTATAAAAATGCAAATTACTAGTGTTAGAATTACAATGAAATTTCTTTTTATTGCCTAACAAAATTTAACGAAGCGCTACTTTCTTTTTCTCGTGCAATTCGTACGTACATAAATCTGAATTTAAAATCATTCGGTAATGCAATAAACTACAAAATGTACAGTTATTCTTTAACGAAAGTGTTTCATTTTTAGACTTATGGAAATATGATGAATTCGTTTGATGTTGTATTATAAATATATAAAATATATACGAGTAGTAAGAAAAATATAAAAAGTCATTTCTTACCTAGGAAATTAATCTTGAGGTTAAGTTGATCTTGAATTTCAAATAATATACAAAAACATTAACTAATAAAAAATTGAACATTGTTTATAAAATAACACAAATGTCCACTACAATTTAGGCACTTTTTTTAATTTATAGACACATTTTAATTTAATATTTTTAGGTTATTTTAAATGCAAACGTTATGCTGCCGCGTATTTTTTCGTACAAAAGCGCGGGCGGGAGAGGGGAGCGCGAGTGC